CCCCCCCCCCCCCCTCCCGTATAGTAACCGTAATAATCAAATTATTTTTTTAAAAAATTTAATGGTATATTAAATTAAATAAAATCATTGTTTTTAAATCAACATTTCAATTTAATACTTTCTAAAATTAAAATTATTTATCAAGTAATCAAATAGAACTTATAAACAAATACACTCTCTTTCGTAAGATTATAAAAATATGAAGTATGAAGTATACGTATAAATAAATTAAACTTCATCTGACCTCAACAAAAAGTGTTGATAAATGAATGACAATTATTTTAAATAAATGATACAACAATTAATGTTTTCTTGGGCAACAGCCATTGCGGCTATTGTCATACAGATCAGCGAGATGCGCCCGTCTATATGTAACCGAAATTTCAGCGTTGCCCATCGTTGTGCTCAGTAACAACGAAATACTCGTCGTTCGTTTATGGAAATGACCCGATTCCTAAGTAATACATAGTGTCCCCTCAATGAAAACATTCGTCATGTATGGCAATGAATGAATAGTACATATAGTTCCCCACTATCCCCATAGACAGCGAGAGTGAACAAAACGACTTATACTACAATACGGCATCTGCGTAAGGACTCGATCGACGATGCAGAGGGGGGGAAAGTTTTATACCTGTGTAACTATCGCAGCAGTCGCCGGTCTGCCTCGCCGCGTACGCGTACAGCTGCGGTGTGTTCGCTCGCGGAGCTATCCTCGACGAGCACGTGTTTACGAATCGTTTCCGTGAGATAACACTGTACGCGAAATCGTGTGCTGCAGTGCCGCCGTATAGTCTGCTCTATTTCGAGGAACGTAGCCGCAGTGCGCGAGCAGTGAGGAGATTCATTCAGTGATTATATACGTGATAATCGAGGCTATAAGCGATGGAAAGCAACGCCGGCGACTCGGCTGTGAGGTATGACTTTTTTGTCCGTTTTTTTTTTAGAAAACATGCTGCGCGCGCGCGCGTACTCATACATCGATAAAATAGCGAAAGAAAGAGAGAGTCCCGTGGCATTGTGCCTTGACATATAACTGTACGGATGGACGTGTATGGTTTGAAACTATAGCTTGTATCCGTCTAAACATAATATGTTCAAATGGTTTTCATCGAAACTTTTTGGGTTGCTTATGCACACTGTATGAAATATTATGTTTTATGTTGTCACCAAGAAAAAACATGACATTTTTACAAGTAATTGAAAAATCACAGAGTGGTAAACTTTTATAAAATCATTGTATCGAAAGCCTTATTTAAAATTTTGAGTAAAATCAAAATATTAATGCTAATCGAAAATAAAGTCACTTTGATGTAAATCATATAAATGCGCTCGAAAAATTAGCTTATATAAAATGAAATAAAACTCGCAAAATTTATTAAATCTGAGGAACGAAAGTGTAAGTTATAGCTAAAATTTTTGCAAAATTCAGTTGAAGAAAAGTATCGAAATGCCATGTAAAATAAGCTTAAATTTTTAATTCAAACTGAATCCATTACATCTCTAATTTTAAATTATAATATTAAATGAATTCAATCTCGAATTTCTTTTATTAAAAATAACTGCAGCATTTCGATGACAACCCATAATTTACAAAATTTGACGTTCTTAATTTTAAAAGAGATTAGTTAATGCCTTGAACTTACCATTATTTTCCAAATATCAGTTACCATTCAAAGTTTTTTTACTGTTTTCCAGTTCATAAATTCAACGACAATACGTACCTATAATAATTAAATATTCTCATTTCGATTAAAATTAAAGCAATCTTTAAAATTTTAAAAAGGTTTTAGAATCCTGCTTTAATTTAATTCTGTAACAGAAAAATATTAAATCAACAAATAAACTATTGTTATTATTGCTGCGTATGCTAAATTGAAATTAAAATAGGTTTACCTATTTTCAACATTATCATAACTTCTTAATCTAATTGGTATTTGCAAATCGCTATTAATAATAAAAGTACCATGTAATCTGAATTGAATTTAAAATTCCGCATCTCTATCCCGCACAGTACAGTCCATGTTTTGTTCATCGCCTCTTCAAAAAAGAAGGGCTGCTATCACAATATTTTTTTTAACAATTTCTTTATCAATCTCAATGATTTTTCAGGGTAAAGAAAGAGCCGGACGATACTTCATCAAATGAAGATGACAATCACGTTTTCAATACGGTGGACATTGTAAGTTCAATGATTTAAATTATTTTCTGTTGATCGTCTATTAGAAACTAATCGACATTTTTAATTTCAGAAAATACCTGCGGAAAAAAATGCAGCGTTACAAAAAAGGGTCGATAAAAATGTAATTATAGATTTGGAGTGCCAAGATGTCAAAATTGAAAGTCCAGCTCTATCGACCAAAATCATAAAAACCGAGAATCAAAATTGTTCGCCTATAGTAAAATTTCAAAGAAAACCGGCGGAAAAAAATGCAGCGTTACAAAAAACGGTCGATAAAAATGTAATTATAGATTTTGAGTGCCAAGATGTCAAAATTGAAAGTCCAGCTCTATCGACCAAAATCATTAAAACCGAAAATCAAAACAGTCCGCCTATGGTAAAATTTCAGAAAAAACGCGTGAAAAGAAATGCAGCGTTACAAAAAAAGTTAAATAAAGATGTGATTATAGATTTTGAGTGCCAAGATGTCAAAATTAAAAGTCTGGCTCTATCGACGAAAATCATCAAAACCGAAAATCAAAACAGTCCGCCTATGGTGAAATTTCAGAAAAAACGCGTGAAAAAAAATGCAGCGTTACAAAAAAAGTTAAATAAAGATGTGATTATAGATTTTGAGTGCCAAGATGTCAAAATTAAAAGTCTGGCTCTATCGACGAAAATCATCAAAACCGAAAATCAAAATTGTCCGCCGATTGTGAAAGCAGAAAACGAAAATGTGACCAATTCCGCGAGAGAAAAAAGTCTAATAATTTTGATCAAAAAAGGGTATAATTATGACAGTAATTGTCAAATGAATGTCGAACCTCACGTAAAACTTGCCGAACCAGAGAGGCCAAGAAATCACGATAAAACTACTGCGCAAAAAACATGCGATTATTTAAGAATGTGTCAAAAAATGCTCACGGCTAGAGTATGTCTAAAAAGGCTTGTCCTTAAAAAACGAAAAAGCATTTCACCGAGTAGGTGTGCAGTTAGCGAAGAATCATTTTCCTGCGAGGTCGATCCAAATTTTCATTCAAACGAGGTAGAAAATCCCGTCGAACCTATGGATGATACGAATAAACAGATCAATACAAAACGAAAAAGCATTTCATCGAGTAGGTGTGCAGTTAGCGAAGAATCATTTTCCTGCGAGGTCGATCCAAATTTTCATTCAAACGAGGTAGAAAGTCCCGTCGAACCTACGGATGATACGAATAAAAAGATCAATACAAAACGAAAAAGCATTTCACCGAGTAGGTGTGCTGTTAGCGAAGAATCATTTTCCTGCGAGAGCGACTCAAACGTTCATTCAAACGAGGTAGAAAATCCCGTCGAACTTACGAATGATACGAATAAAAAGAGGCTAAAAATTCTGATAAAAAAAGGTTATAATTACGATGATAATTGTTACATAAGCGTTAAATCCCGTATAGAACTTGCCGAAAATGAAGAGCTACAAAATTTTGAACAAATCGCTGGAAAAAAATTGCACAAGTCAAAAATGAGTCTAAAATCTAATAAAGCAGGAACTAGTCAAAACAAATCTGTAAATAAAAATTTTAAAAACGCTAGAACGTACGATTGCTCAGTTTGTAAAAAATCATGTTCCAGCAGTAGTGCCCGGCAAAAGCACATTCTTGCAGCACATAGTCGCGACAAACCTTTCGTATGCGACATTTGCGGGAAATCTTACTCGTACGCGGGTAGTCTCACTGTTCACGTCAATTCGGTACACGAGCGCACCCGAACGTACACATGCGATATCTGTTCCAAATCGTTCGGACTAAAAAGAAACCTCAGGTCTCACATAAATTTTGTACATTCTCGTGTCAAGCCTTTCGAATGTGACATTTGTCAGAAATCATTTTCGTACAAAGGTACCCTCAGCAGTCACATAAGTACGGTACACGATGGGGTCAAATCCTTCGAGTGTAATATCTGTCACAAGACATTTTCGGGCAGGGGTAATCTCGTTCAACACGTGAACGCGGTACACGATAATAATAAAAAACTTTTTGAGTGCGACGTATGCCAGAGGTCATTCAGTCACAGACGTAAACTTAGACGGCATAAAACTTTGGTGCACGATGGTAGAAAAATCTTCGAGTGTGACATTTGTCGGAAAAAACTTGGGTCAAAAAACGCCGTTCGAAATCACATAAGGGTAATACATAATGGCATCAAGCCTTTCGAGTGTGAAATTTGTCACAAATCATTCGGATTCGAGCGAACCTTGAATAATCACAGGGATGCAGTACACGATCGAAGCAAACCCTTCGATTGTGAAATTTGTCGCAGATCACTTGCGAGCAAGGATGATCTCGAAAAACACGTAGAGAAAGAACATTTTCGAGACAAACCCTTCAAGTGTGACGTTTGTGGCAAGTCGTTCAGTCATCAAGAAGGACTTGACTCACACAAAAATTCTGTTCATGATCAGACACAATCCTTCGAGTGCAAAATTTGTCATAAATCATATTTTTATAAAAGTTACCTCTATACTCATTTAGCCTCAGTACATTACCGTAATAAAGTATTCAAGTGCGAGATATGTAACAAGTCATTTAGCCGCAAGGATACTCTAAGAAATCACAACAATAGATTTCATAAGTAACAAATCATTCATAAAGTAAGATTTATACTGTAACGTTTGAGAGATCAATCTGGTTTGCCACTTGATACAATGAATTTTTTTTTTAATTTTCGAAGTGTTTTTTTTACTTTAAAAAATCACCACTTGAAATTTGTTACAAAAATTTAAATTTTCAATCTGTCAAAATTAAAATTGAGTGTAAACGCGTACATGGAGTGTAAAATTATTCAAAAAAATTTATTTTACTTTAATTTTTTTTTTTCAATTGATGCCATTGTTATTTTTATTAAAATAAATTTTTCTGGGGTTCCAATTATTGTAAGTGCAACTATTGCATAAATAACGAATCACTTCTTTTGTTGTTTACTTTTTGTTTTGAAAAACAGCCACATTTATCATTTTTTTTTTTTTTTAATAATCTCTACTCGAAAACAGAGTCTGTGATAGAATAGCGCTAAAACTCCGGATAGGGTGAAATACAGGTTTATTCTAGAAGGTAAATCACACAAACGACCCCTTATTATAAAACTTTTCATTTCGAAAAATATATATAGTGTATTTTTCTTTAAAATTAGTTTAAAAATTGTAAAATAATTGTTGTGCCAGCCCAACCTAAGGTAACATTTTTCTCCCTCCGAAAATCTAAATACATTACTCTATAAAATTATCGCAACACAAAATTTCATCGAAATTTTGTTAATTTTTGAATTCTTCTGCCTTGGTCTATATTGATTTTATCAAGACGATTTGTCTTTCATTTTTTGGAAATTGTCTCCTTTAAATCCATATATATTATGTATGGGTTCAAGTCAATATCCAGTTACCGGTAGTATTTGAGCGTAACACTAAAAATTATTGGGAAAAATCGATCGTTAAATCGTGTCCATGTACTACAGTAATAAGTTATCAAAATCTAATATACACCATCGCAAAGTACTTTTTACAGTGAGTAATTTAAAAGTACGTTTGTGTACGAAAAATGCCCAAATTCGTTTCGATTTCAGCTAAACGAGGCATTTTAAGTACTTACTTAAGTACGTACTTTTAATGGTGGATTCAAAACGATCTACAGGGCGAAAAAATGATCGTAGCTCTATTTATTTTTAAATTACTCGCTGAAAAAATTATTTTGTAATGGTGCATGTTAGATTTTGATGTAGTCCATGAACACGTTTAAACAATCGTTTTTTTCCAGTATGTTTTAGTGTTGCGCTCAAATACTACTGGTAACTGGATATTGACTTGAACCCATACATAATATATATGGATTTAAAGGAGGCAATTTCAAAAAATGAAAGACAAGTCGTCTCGATAAAATCAATATAGACCAAGGTAGAAGGATTTAAAAATTGACAAAATTTTGATGATATTTTGTGTTGCGATAATTTTATTGAGTAGTGCATAACTATAGGCTGGGGAATTCACAAAAAACTGTACACAAAAAACTGTATTTGTACCTATGCAGAGAAAAAAGAAAGGCCACGATCGTCAGCTTCGGCTGATGAATTACGAGTGCTCAGAGACTTTCCAGATATTCACTTCCTAAGTGCAAAATTTATTATTATAAGAAATGAATTATAAAATAGTTTAAATAAATATATTTTTCACGTAATGTAAACCAAAATGATCTTTTCAATCAATTGAAAGGTCTGTCGATCTTAATTAGTTAACACTTAACATGTATCGAGGAGATGAAAAATGTTATGTATAAACATGTATGTTTTTACAGGATATGAACTAAATTATATGTTATGAGTATTTTCAATTGTTATTAGTTTCATTATAAATTTGTCAAAGCTGTAAACCATCTTATGTTTATGAAGTTAATATATTAAACAACGCAATTGTTTTCAATTAATTATTATCGACGTGACATTCATTTTCAAACATTCCCCTCATCCATTTACTTTTTACATAAGATAAATCAACGAATCGACAATGCTAGAATCATTAACTCTGAACAGCTTTGCAGATTATGGAGCAGTTACTTACATCCTGCTGGTTTAAAATAAGTTTGTTAAAACTTACGTATTTCCTACAAGATAATATATTCAGAATTGCATATGTTAAAGATTTCAGTGACAGTGATTATAGTGTAATTTATGTATACAGAATTGTAAGAGCTAGACGTTATAATGAGTATCTTTTCTCACTGTAATGTGACTAAGAACAAAATTAATCTGCCAACATTAAATTTTTATTTCATGAAGTAAAATCTTGTTTCAAGTTCAATTGCTTATTTATGTAATAAGTTTCTGTTGTTGCTATTTGCTTATAAATTTTGCAACTTTTTATTCAAATATAATGATAAATCATCAGTTTCACCAATTTGAGACGCTAACGGAGCTTGATTTACGTCATAAATTTTATTTTGGAACTCAAAACCTCTACGTCCATCTGTACTGTGCCATGAGACTTGTCACAAGAGTATTAACTTTTTTGAGCTTCATCGTTTCGAGCTGTAAGATAATTCAACTTTAACTGTTGATGTAAAAAGGCTGCTTTAGCAGCATTTACTCCTAGTCCACGAACATTGAAATAATCTGTGAATCGATCTTTTTCTTATGAGAATGAACATGTGAA